AATAAATCTGCAAAAATGTCAACGATTCTGTGTTTTTCTGTCAATATGGGGTGCTGTGTGTACATTAATGAGGAAAAAAAATTAACTTAAATGATTTTAGCAAATGGCTGCAATATAACAAAGAGTGAAAAATTGAAGGGGGTCTGAATACTTTCCGTACCCACTGTATATATATATATATATATATATATTGATGCAATTTTTCCCATATAATGACTGTGAATGGGTATTTTTTTCTGTTTAATAAATAAAAATATTCAATAATAAATTTCATATATTAACAACTTTTATGATTCTTTTTGGAGTCTGACAGCCCTTTCACCTTCATTGTATGTAAGAGAGCAGCTGGAACATTCTTCAAAACTTCTCCAATTGTATTCCTTAGACGAAAGTGTGTCATATGGGTTTGGAACGACATGGGTGGACTGTTCCTTTAAAACCTGGAATCAACTACCCAAAAGGAACGAGAACAGAATACCATCAACATGTTTTCGAAATAATCTACAACCTGCTATCAAATGGTTGGCTCGAGTAGCATGAAATACCTGCCTGTCAGAGACAGCTGCTGTTATCCTTATGTGTGGAGATCTTTTCCAGCCCGGAGTGCTGGTGTTTGCTGAAAGCAAGGGAAGGCAGACAAAAGACACCTCTGCTTGGCATTTCCAGTGGTGTCAATCATAGGAAGGGCTTTCAGAGTTGGTTGTTTACACAAGGGATGGTGCAATCACACTCAATTCTCAGCAAGCGCACACCGTCGTGCTCTAGCACGAATACGCAAACCCCGCACACTTTCACTGCATCCTGAAGATCAAAAAACAGAATATGCAAAATTAGCCAGCCTGGAGTGCTGGTGTTTGCTGAAAGCAAGGGAAGGCAGACAAAAGACACCTCTGCTTGGCATTTCCAGTGGTGTCAATCATAGGAAGGGCTTTCAGAGTTGGTTGTTTACACAAGGGATGGTGCAATCACACTCAATTCTCAGCAAGCGCACACCGTCGTGCTCTAGCACGAATACGCAAACCCCGCACACTTTCACTGCATCCTGAAGATCAAAAAACAGAATATGCAAAATTAGGATGGCCTTTTTTATGTCGAAACTGGCATTCACGGTTGGAAATGTTCTTAGGTTGATGACAGTAATTTGATTACTAATAGTTTTAAAATAAACCAGATTGTCTAGACTGTCGTTTAGTCTTGTTATGGAGCCTAGCACAAAATTATGAATTTATCCAGAACATAAGGATTGCTAATTTAGGCAGCTTTAGATGAAGGATGTTTAATGGTAACAGTGTTGAACTCTTTGACTTTTAAAAGTGACTAGAAATATCTGTAGAGTATACCAGACTTGTTCGGGTCAAATGTTTAAAACTTTTTAATTGTTACTTATCTGCACAGTTGAGATGCCAAACAGGATGAAATCTAGAGCTATAAGGCTAGTCATTGCTCAGCTAGGGACTGAAAGTTTATCCTACATTATGGTGTCAAATTGATATACATTTTGATATAAGTAACCAATTTCTGTCATTTAATCAAACAGGATGAAATATTTTGAGGGAGACAAGCCTAATAATACATTAAAACAGGGGTCTCAAACTGCCGGCCCACGGGCCATTTACGGCCCCCCCTCCCCCTCCACCTCCACCCGGCCCGCAACTGATGTCAAAAATAAAACATAATCCGGCCCGCTAAATTATTATTATTATTATTACTATTATTATTATTTTCTAGTTGTCTCGTATCATATTCCATATTCAAAAGAATGACATGATTCTATAAAAAAAATAAAAAATTTTCAAAAGCGCATGCAGGCAGATTTGAAGATAGCTGGTTTCGGGGCTTTCGTAGTTTATGTTGTTTAGCTGCGAAGTGCGAATGAAAAGATGTCTCTTTCCAAACCGAAAAGGAAAGTGGATGAGGAACACAGACAGTTTCAAGAAAGATGGACGTTGCAGTATTTTTTTGTGGAGTTTAATGGAAACGCTACCTGTCTGATATGCAAAGAAAAAGTCGCCGTTCTAAAGGAATATAATCTCAAGCGTCATTACTCGACTAAACATGGAGAACAGTATGAGAAGTACCAGGAAGACGAGAGAAAAAGACGAGCCACGCAGTTGCAGAGAGAGCTAACGTCCCAGCAAAACCTTTTCCATAAAGCCAAAAAGGATGCTGATGCTGCTGTTGAAGCAAGTTATGTGGTGAGTGAGTTGATCGCTAAAGCGGGAAAGCCATTCACAGAAGGGCGGTTTATAAATTATTGCATGCAGAAAGTCGCTGATATTCTTTGTCCAGAAAAGAAAAACTTGTTCAACAATCTCTCTTTGTCAGCAAACACCGTGGCAGAGCGGATCAGCGAGTTATCGAGTGACATTTATGATCAGTTATGCAGCAAATCTAAAGTCTTCACTGCATCCTCTGTGGCGCTTGACGAAAGCACAGACATAACTGACAGTGCTCAGCTAGCAATTTTCATCAGGGGTATTAATGACCAGTTTGAAGTGACGGAAGAGTTGCTGAGTTTGTGTCCAATGCACGGCCGTACCACAGCCAAAGATATATTTCAGCAGCTGTGTGACGCAATTGAGCGCGCTGGTTTGCCGTGGAACAGGCTGGTCGGCATTACCACTGATGGCGCCCCGTCTATGACTGGGAAAAAAAATGGACTGGTAGCACTAGTACAAAGAAAGTTAGAAGAGGAAAATGCAGATCCAGCAGTTGTTCTGCACTGCATTATTCACCAACAGGCACTGTGCAGCAAATGCTTGAAATATGAACATGTCATGTCTGTTGTCCTGAAATGTATCAATTACATCAGGTCGAGGAGTTTACAGCACCGCCAGTTTCGAGCCTTTTTAGAAGAAATTGAGTCAACATATGGTGATGTACTTTATTTTACTGAGGTGCGCTGGCTCAGCAGGGGGAATGTCCTGAAGAGATTCTTTGAGTTAAGAGCAGAGGTGAAGAGATTCATGGAAGATGGCAGAATGGATGTTCCTGAATTTGATGATCCTAAATGGGTCATGGATTTTGCATTCTTAGTTGACATAACACAGGAGCTGAATGTCCTTAACCTGAAGCTCCAGGGCCCAGGTCAGCTCATCACAGCAGCCTATGAAAGTGTGAAAGCCTTCTCCACAAAACTAAGATTGTGGAAAACTCAGCTTTCTGCAAAAAAAACTCAGTCATTTCTCAACATGCAGATCTCTTGTGGAGGAGGGCACAGCATTCAATGGTGATGAATATGCCTCTGCTATTATCTATCTATCTATTAGAAGACATCTAGAGTTTTGACAACAGTGACATCTACTGGTCACCTTCACTGGAAGCTGTTCACACACATCTCTCTCTTATGGTCTAATAACACACATGGATTGAAACAATACAAAACCTGTTGAAAATGGCCTTCAGCAAACCAGCACACATAAAGAAAATCAAGAAAAAAAAAAAAAAAAGACCATGCTGTCTGGTTTGTTGCATTATGATAACTGATTGACCAATGGCTGTTCATAAATCTATCAATCTCCTCTTCCTCAGAGGAGTTTAGATTAAGCCTGCGGTCCGTGATCATCTAAAGATCTCCTCTTGCCATCAATAACGACTCGCACGAGATTCTCTCATTAATGCCTGTTGCTGGAAAAGCAGCACTCTGAGCTTTTATTGAAAAATGACAACTCCCAGCAGCGAGGTGATCATATCTACCGCCCATCAATATGAGGACTAGGCCGTGCTCAAAGGTTGTTTCACGGCCCCGGGGAACAGAAGTCCAAAAATCAGCATCGGCCCCCCACCCCTCACACCAGCGGCTGTATATCACTGAGTTGAGGAGATCAATGTGCTTTTATTGCATTGCTTCCTCTCTCTGAAGCACACGGGCCCCTGCCGCAGGCCCCTCGATCCATATATCTCCTGCTGTATTTACAGTAATGAAACATTCAGATGCTGGAAGACAGCCATTGATTTTATTGTGGGAACACTTTTTGACTGACATTTCATAAATGGCACTGTGTGAAATTATAATAGTAAGTGAAACAGAATGCATTACCCACACTAATTACTTCAAACAGTATGCTACTAGTTTGCATTTTTTGATGGTTTAAAAAGAAACAGTTATTAAAAAGTAGAATGCATTGCATCGTGGGTACAGTATTTCATGCTGCATGCTTTTTGCATCCTTCTTTACTACTGTACCTCTTGGCATATAGTAAGGCATCTAAGTATTCTAAGCATACAGAATATTTGCATATAAAACACTCTCAGAAAAATAAAAAAACCATACAAAGCTGTCACTGGGGCAGTATTAGGTACAAAAGCTAAAAGGTACATCATCTTTGCACCTTATTATTCACCTAAATGTTACATATAAGGAAGACAGCCATTGATTTTATTGTGGGAACACTTTTTGACTGACATTTCATAAATGGCACTGTGTGAAATTATAATGGGGCCACGCTGATGAACACTCTGCTTTAATAGTGAAAATCAATGTAATATTGAGGCTCTTTTTTTTTAAATGTGCACACAACATTTATAACTGTGTGTAGAAACTGAAAAAGTTTGCAGCTTTTACATATTTATTTAAATCTGACAAAAGGAGCTGTTTAGGAATTGATTCACTGGGGATTGTTGATCAGAGGTGTCTAGTGTAGGGTTAGAGACACAATGCCTTTTGTCCATAAGTGCTTAAAGACTGAAAACCTAATTAAGTTAATGATGAGCAAACTGGATAGTGCTAATTTTTGGTTAACTACCGATGCACAGCAAAAATAAATCCACAGCAACAGACTGACTTAAATGACCTTAAACAACATTTTTGTCTTTTGGATTCTATTTATTTAGGTCTTTAACTTTTTGTTTCTATAATGAAATGTTTAAATAAATAGTATCAAAAAAGACAATAAGACAAAAGTATATATATATATATATATATATATATATATATATAATTTCCCACACTAGCCACCATGGGGATGTTTCTTTGTCTGTGATGGAAAATTCAGACCATTGTCAGCCTGACACTGATGAATAGTAAATTCTGCACACACTGCACAGGTTTTACTCTCTAGAGTCGGCAGCGTGTCAATAGCACTAATATTTTAAGCATAAAATAATTGTCCTTTCAGATTAATAAGGGCCCGATATAGAAGAAACCGGCACTAGTCACACAGGGAAAGGCTGTATCTCAGTAACCAAACTAGAATACATTAAGACAATGGTCAAATATATAATGAAGGCAGATTTTAAATGAAAGGTTGAACTGTGTTCTAAGCAAAAGGGTAGTTTTCATAAATGTCAGGTCAGGGCAAGTTGTCATATGTGTTTTAAATGCTATAAATTTATAAATTACCATATTTGTTGGGCAATATTTGACATTTTGGGTGTTAAATTGTACTTTTTTTCTGTTTCGGGAACACATTACATTCACAGAAAACTATTTTGCTGATTAAAAAATAAGCATATAATAGATTGTTTGGCACATACTTTACGCTAAAGATTCTCAAACTTTTTAATATGAAGGATCGACAGTCAAACTTGATTGAGGGCTGTGGGCTGAAAATAAATGCTGCATTATATCCAACTATATAATTTTTTTCATTCTATTTTTTATTTACTTGTATTCTCCACATTTCAGTTAAAAAACTGAAACCAAAAATATTAAAATGCTAAAACAAAATGATAAATTAGAAATCCTTCAACAACATGTTCTCACCCCTTTGTGATATTGCATGGCTGGCCAAGTCAGAGGTCATCATGGGCCCCAGTTTGGGTATCTCTGCTAACTGACTTAAAAAAAGAATCTGGTTTGAAGGAAAGGTGCAACACTTTCTTGCAGAAAAATAAACTAAAACTTTGATTAAAAGCATCAGACATCGGCCCTGAGGATGGCCAAAATGTTACTAATTTTTTAACCAATAATTGCACCAATTGCACCTTTCCTTCAAGTCAATTATATACATTATATTCAGGTTTATGTTTGAAGGAAAGGTGCAACATTCACTTCTAATATATATATATATATATATATATTTATTTATTTAATCAACCTAACCTTAAAATCAGGGGAACCTGACAACTATCCTAGGCCTCCCATTTAAACATACGTTCATACTTTTAAGTGCATTATGCATCAAATTATACAATCTGATGCTCAGATCTGAGGTGATGCGTCGCATTATGTGCTAGAAATCAGCTCAGATTTGCAGCTTCTTACCAGCCCTGTTTTCTTTGAGCCGTGGAATTAGTCATCTCGGCGAAATCTGATTAGTTACACTGAAAATACTTTGATGTGGAAATTACTTTCTTGTGCATATCATTAAAGAATAATCGATATGATGGATGCGATGAAGGCCGGAGCTATTTATTGCAGCTGAGCAGAGGCCATGCGGGGCGTCTCTGCCTGGCATCTCCCTCATAATGAGCGTTTAATTTGTCTAAAAGACAAAAACATCAGTGCGGGGTCAGAGAGGCCTGGCTGCAGTTCTGCGTTTTCTCTCTCTCCCTGTGTCTGCAGGACCGCCCCCAGCTTGTTCCAGCCCGTGACTTAATTACCTGAAAATAAATTGGCTCATGAGTATATGTGAGCTGCACTTCAAGACGAGACCTCCTCACACTCCATGTCTTAATGCTCTCATTATCCGAAGGGATTTGAATTCTGGGCAGAGCCATGGAGGGAAGAGAGAGAGATCGAACCTCCGCTTCCTGGTGGCTTCTGAGAAGCTTCAAAGATTTAATGGTCAAATAATTAACTGACCTTAGCTTTACATGTTGAAGGTCTTTGTTAATAATGGTGAGCCACTTTATGAGACTGTACAAGAAAGAGACTTTCTGTGGCCAGAAGTGAAACTGGAGAATTGAAGAAGTGTTCATATACATACTTGCAATATTTCATAGGTTCAAGGGCCAGACAACAGGAACACAACAACTCCGACAGGGGGAAAAGATGCCAAGTTAAGCTGAAGCACTTGACTGCTGTGATTTACTGCTTGTTATCCAACACTGAATAAAAAAGAATAAAAAAATCTGTATTTTTCCTGCTTTAAAAATGCTGTATGTATTTTTGACTGTATTAAAGCATACATTTGCAGATATTTAGGAAATATCCTAAGTTCACATACTTGTTTCTCTGAAAAACAATACTGCAGCCAATTATTCTACTTTAAAATGTGTGTTCTGTGTCAGAATATCTGTTTTGTTTTGGTCTGTGTGATTCCCGCCACTGCCAATTTAGCCAATAGTATTTCAACACCCTGGGAAGCTGGTGGAAAACAAAGTGTATCACAACCATGAAAGCCAGCAAATGAACTGGGTCAGAGATCACAGATTACCTGACCTAAAAGCCTTGGCATCCATCGAAAAAGCTCTATGTCCAAAGAAATATTAAAATGTGGATAAATCAACTTGTTAACTAATGTAAAGGTCATTGCACACTAAGTCTGAAATTTTCGTCCGAAATTTTCGCACGATAAAAAATAAATACGACCTCACGTTGTGTCAATCACATTTACACACTGCCTCCGAAACTTTCATCCGTCATAAAAAAAACTCGGATCAGGTTCGATTTTCTGCGTTTTGGTATCCGTAGCAAGTATTTTGATAGGAAAGGATGACGAATATGAAAAAAATGAAAAAACGCATAAACGCACAAATAAATTAAACTCAGTGTGCAAGGACCTTAAAGGGATAGTTCACTCAAAAATGAAAATTAGCCCATTATTTACTCACCCTCAAGCCATCCTAGGCGTATATCGGGGGGTGAACAAAGGTATTCTGTAGCGAATTGATGCGTTTTTGTAAGAAAAATATCCATATTCAAAACGTAATAATCACTTTAATCTAGCCTGCGCCAACAGTTGTACACGGAAGCAGCTCCGGGAGGATGACGTAAGATGTCGGCGTTGCGCATGTGCCGGTGAGTCTTGTGAAAACCAACGTTTGTTTACAGGAGCAAAGGAAGCAAAGTTTCCTTACTTTAGCAAAGGAAAACCAGTCTCCTCTTGGCTTATATCGAAATCCTCCGACATTCTTCTTTACAAATCCTCGTTTTGTATTTCTAATTCGTGACCGTTGTTTTGTTTTGATCTCTCCACTGTGCTTCCACGCTCGTCACTTGAGCATGCGCAACGCTGACGTCTTACGTCATCTGCCCGTAGTTGCTTCTGTGTACAACAATGAGCGCAAGCTAGATTAAATTGATGATTACGTTTTGGTATTATTCTGATGAAGCAGGAAAGTGTGTTCTAAACCTCATGCTATGTAGGAAGTTTGAGTTTATTTCTCAGATACAGAGGAAGCAGATATTACTTTTTGACTCCATTACAAAGATTAATTGCATTGAAGGTGGGATTTTGTGTCCCAGAGTTCAACATATGACATTTAAAACCAACAGGGGACTGAACTTCATTAAAAAGATTTATTACAATGAATCTGGTATAACATTTCTAAAACCATCCCTTATTAACTCTGTTTTAAAAAGTAAATTGAATTAAGTGCCATGTTATTCTTTGTAATTATGACATTCGTTCTGCACTTTACCTAGATCAGGGACCCTGGTGCTCCGGGGTAAAATTAGAGTACA